TGTGCGGAGCATTGCTGTAGTGGAAAAATTCAAAATTGAGCATTATGCCGCATAATGCGCTTTAGTGCTGTAATTGGAAAACGCCCTACGTCTCTATTAAGCGACTTAAGGCAGTATGTACGAGTATCTCAATTTATCTATACAGATAAATAAAATTGAAGTGTCTGTTTGTAATGTCAAAATAACAGTGTTAAATGCATAATACGAAATTATATACGGTACGGTACGGTCTGTCTATTTGTCTGTTTGTTCCGAATAATCTCTGAATCGGCTGAACTGATTTTGACGGGACTTTTACTGGAAGATAGCTGATGTTATAGGGAGTAACATAGGCTACTTTTATTTTAGAAAAAGAATTAGGGTTCAGCACAAAAAAATTAAAACTTACCTAGGGACGAACCTGAGCGAAGCGAGGGTGAGTCGCTAGTTAAAATATTAAAATCTGGCTAACAGTGATCCTATTGTATCCTCTATTCGATTGAACCATGTTCCTGAGATACAAATCTCAGAAACATGGTGAAAATGTCTATCTGTAATTTAACTAGGCGAAAAGGAACAAACAGACACACAGACGGTATTAATGTTATCTATATTTCTTTTCTAGACTTTATTATTCTATTAATATGGAGCTTTATATTTTTTTACCATTAAAAAAAATTGCTTATTATCTAATTCAGCTATGAGTGAACCTGTTTCTCGTAAACCTAAATTGTGAAGCTTCTATCCTAAAAGCTTACTTAGTTTTTATTAGTCTCGGAACAGAAACAAGGAAAAGAACTTGAGTCACTATGTCCTTCATGCCCCTTCCAAATGTCTCATCAACGTCCTACTTTGCTTTTCAGAGGTTCCTTCAATATCGAAGCATCGAACGCTTTATTATTGTATGAATTGTTAGATTATTATATTGATAGTAATGTATGTAATGTTAACAAATTTTATTAGATTCTGTCTCTAGATAGAGCCTTAGCAGAACCGCGAATGCTCACCAAACCGATTGGCATAATAACCGTCAGCATGTTTACCACTACTCTTATTTTGACTATTTTTGGCGGTTTTGGATATTGGGCTTTTGGAACAATGGAAGAAAATTTGTTGCGGTCGTTGCCTTTCGATGATGAGTATGAAATTTTCATATCACATTATCCAACGATTATTAAAATTATTAAAGCTCGTGAGGGTCACTGAAAGTGATTAGACGAGTGCTGTGCTGGTCCTTTATTCTTATTTAAAGGTTCAACAGATTTGAGGCACATAGTACGATATGGAGATAGATCATTGATCGTTTATTTTTAGATAGCGTATATATGTATTTATCGTACGAGCGGAGCTGCGGGTAGAATATTGCAGTATTTGTAGGTTATATACGAACAACTATTTAATATTGTTATGTATTTACATATATATACGAATTAATTAATAGTAATCAATAGCTAATAGCGACATTATCTATTGGTGTAAGATCTGAAGTACGATCGTCTCTCACCCATTTATTTACCGAATATTTTGCAATACATATAATATGTAATACTAGCGATTCACAATCGCTTTGCTCAGGTTCGTCCCTAGATACGATTTGACGTATGGAATAGATTTTATTTTCAATTTTTTTTCGAGATTTTTTCCAATGTTTTAATAGTTATTCTGCTATTTGGGGTGAAGACAAATCCAACAAATTAAAGATCATAAAAATCGGTCCAGCCATTCTCGAGTTATAAGTGTTGTAATAAACTTTAATATACTTATATAAGATATAAACAAATACATTGCACGGGAGTCACCTAATGGAATGTTGAGAATATGAGTATTGAATAATGCAACATTTTTGTTTTTACGTTTTAATTCATTCCTTACCATTCGTTCTTTAGTTAATCTTCCAATTTCGCATACATATATATACATCATATACGCAGTGCTACTTTACCAGCTACACACATGCCTTCAAAGCCTAATATGATTTAATATTTAATCGGTGGTGTAACCGCTATATTTATCTGAGTGTCTCTACTCATGCGGATTATGGTAAGCAAATGGACGAAAATCGATGTTCCTGCAGATCTTTCACGACGTTATAGGTACTATAGAATAAAGAAGTCCGTATTTTTTACTATACTGTACTAACTACTTCTTTATATTAAAATAACTGAGAACTAAGGCGAGTCATTTAATTAATTCCAACTGTTTTATGAGAACCTATTATTATAGCTTATATTACCTACCAATCTTTTCTGTTATTAGTACAAAGACTTAAAATCTTATACAGATGATATTTTATGTTTTTTTATTATTTTCAGTTCAGCTATATTTGCAATAGGATTGTATTTAATATCCGTAGCCTTCGCATACCCTATTCAGTGTCACCCTGCGATTCACATTATACTGGAGATTATAAAAAATAGGGATACTACAAGCCCGCCTTCAGAAAATACAATGAAAACAATTGAATTTTTTGCTCGGCCCCTCTTCGTAATTACTTCCTGTAAGTGTAACTCACTATGTATTTATATAATATTGTTCATACAAAACTACTAAAATCGCGATAATAAAGTGGGGAGTGGGGGTAGTAGGGTGAAAAATACTTTACGACCTATTCTCATACCTATCAAATGTACAAAAAAGTTTTTATTAAAATCGGTTGAACCGTTTTGGAGGAGTGCGACCACAAACACCGTGACACGAGATATTTATATATTAGATAATCACGGAAGATAAACGTTGAGCGTGTTTTCTCTTCCGTGGGATATCAAGGTATATGCAGAGCCATATACACAGACTTTTTTGTTAACTCAGACCTGTAAAAAAATATTTTCATATCGGGCTGGCAGTTCGAGGCAGCCAAAGATTGACGCGCTTAAATAAAGAAAAAATATATAGAAAAAACGATCTCAGCTTTTTAATATCTATTACTCGTAGTATGGGCTATATAGATAGCCATCAGACGACACCCATAAAATAACCGTATTTAATAATTTGAATCAGATTAATTATTAATAATAAACTTATCTATTTGCTCGACATAAGCCAATGCAAGCAACCGTTTGACAAAGTTTTTATCCATCGGTCTGTCTGCTTGTAACATCTATATCAACAATCTCCGCAACGAATTATTAACCCATTTTAAGATAAAACTATTCATAACACAATAAATAGGTATATACACTAAAAGTTTTTATAAAAAGCGGATCCGTAGGTATTTCCTTTGAGAAGAGATTTTTTTGGTATTTCGCCATTTGCTCCCATTAAAAAAAATCTGTAAACTAATTATTTTATCATTTATTTATTTTTATAGTTACAGTTTGCTACCTAGTGCCGATTCAAGGCGCACTTGTCGCCTTTGTCGGGAATTTATGCACAACAATGATTGCTCTGATTTTCCCCGCCTTGATGGAGCTGTGCATTTTATATCCTAATGATTACGGAAGATTTAGTTTTTATTTAATAAAAGATCTAGCCATTATTTTTTTCGGGTTTTTATGCTGGATACTGGGTGTAGCGTTGTGTGGCTACCTCATATACGTCAGAATTCTTTCTTTACATTCACTCAACAATAATATGGAATATTGATGCAAAATTCGTTTTATCTATTTTTACATTATACATGACCTAATAAAATATTTTGAAAAGTATTGTTTTTTTTTTTAAATAATTTATACCTACCTAGATAATCTGTACATATAATAAAATTGTAACTAAGCCGAATCTGTACATTATATATTTTTTGGAAAATCGTATATTGAGATAGATATTATCATCGATACTGAGGCCGAATCTATAGTTTTAAGAATTTTTGTCAGTCTGTCTGTAACCGCATCACGGAAAAAACACTGGAGGGATTTCGATGAAATTTGGTATGATGATAGCTGGTTATACGGGTCAACATATAGAATACTTTTTATTACGGGCAAATATCTCATCTCTGAGAAATCTATAGTAAACGTTACAACGTAAGTAGGGATGAACCCGAGCGGAGCGAGGGTGAGTCGCTAGATGATTTTATAAAATAATGTTGGGTATCAATAATCATTTTTATTTATAAAATAGATAATTAACAAACTAATTTACAAATTACTTTATGAAAAAGGTATTTATCGACTTATCTTTTAAGTATTTTTATAATAACTGTTATAATTATTTTAATAATTTGCTTTTGCTGCTTTTACTGAGGTCTTACGATCATATTTATAGTGCCCTTGACTTATTTTGTTTATCTACTTTAAGGCTCAGTCCACACTATAGCGCTGATCACGACGTGCTTACTCGGTCCCATATCGGTCGGGTATAGTATTTTTATACAAGAAATAATGAGCGCATTTAAACTGTCAGTAAGGATCTAGTTCCGGTCGAATCACACTCCAGAAACGTTTCCGTTAAAAACACTTTACCAAACCGAGAAAAGACTGTAATCGGCACTATAGTGTGGTTCTACCTTAAAAAAGGCGAGATATGCCAAGAACACAAGCAATCTTCAATATTTTTAGCGATTTCTTTTACAAAATATAAAGATATTGTATTAAATTATTATTTCCATAAATACCTATTTGTATAAATATTTATCTTCATGCAAGCATAGGTTATAAATATCTAGGTACTTACTATATTCTGCAAAATATTGAAGTTTAATAGGTATAATGTCAATAAAGGCAGACAGTTCAAGTCATAAAGTAACATTAACATGTATAAAGACATATTTATACTTCTAATGATAAATCTGTAATAACTTTTTATAATCAAAGAAATGCTAGAAGTATGGAAAATATCTCAAGCAAACTTCATAATTCTACTACTTTTATTTTCGATGACACTTTCTCGGATGCTATCGTAGCTACATTTTATAATATCTGCTTCATTTTTAATTATACTTATCTACAACAAGAAGATTTATACTTAAACATTTTTTTTTCAGGCATGAGCTACCTCTATGGTCGTGGGACTGTATCAACAATAAATGCATACCCGTAAACACAACAAATTCCGAAAAGTTACAATCTCTTATAACATGTAATATGCTTTGTACATCTCTACCGTTTTGGCCTCATCCTACGGGAAAAGTAGAAATATCCACTACTGCCGTGGCTGTCTGCGCAGATCAATTCAGTCTACAAATATTATCATATCCATCGATTACTATCCGAGATCATGTTAACGAAGCTTTTATACTTTTTCAATCAGATTTACTTAAAATGAACAACAATATATGTGCGTTAACAATACAGCGTAGAGTCATAGTTCAAATAGCCATAAATGAGAGTGGCAGCACTGATCCAAGGATGCTTTTAGACACCGATGAAAGTTATAAATTGCGACTAAAAACAGACAATGATACTATACTCGTAAATATTTTATCAAATACTTTCAGCGGCTCACGACATGCTTTGGAAACGTTACTGCAAATGACTTGGCTAGATCCATATACAAATTATTTGTTCATCGTACAAGAAGCTTCTGTGGATGACGCCCCACGCTTTAGGTACCGAGGATTAATGCTCGACACTACGCAAAGCTACTTTCCAACCGAACAAATACTACACACTATTGATGCTATGGCAGCGTCAAAGCTTAATACGTTTCATTGGCATACAACCAGTTCGAAAGCATTTTCCTTGCAACTAAATAATATGCCGCGGCTGGATAAATTAGAATCTTATGGACCTCGTATAATGTACACGGAAGATGACGTGCGTAAAGTTACGAAACATGCACGATTACGTGGTATAAGAATACTTTTAGAGGTAGATTTGCTAGCATATATAGGAAGCTCTTGGTTCTGGAAACAGAATACAAGTGATGATGAGTCATTATCATGTATAGAAATACAGAATTTGGTAGCAAGATGCAGTAAGCGTTCCTGTGGACTAATTAATCAACTTAATTCAAATCTTTATAATACTATTCAACGTCTTTACGCTGAAATCATAAATATTACAGGGGTTGAAGATATTTTTCATCTTGGCGGCGTAGATATTTCTATGTATTGTTGGGCAGAAAACATAGATCAAACAGAATTGTTCAATATTTGGACAAAGCTTATTCTAAACACCTTACAAAAGTTAGAATCCGATTATGGACAGTTACCTTTATTTGTATTGTGGTCAAAACATTTGTTAGAACGTTTTAAAATGGATTTAAAAGCCTACATTCATAAATTTGCGTTCCAATCACGTAACAGTGGATGGACACAGAACAATTTCTATGGATTGTGTACTATTATTTCAAATGAAAATATTTGGGATCTGAATAGTGGTTTTGGGAATTGGGACGAAGAATATGGAGGTGGGCCTTATAACTCTTGGCAACGAATATACGAATATCGACCATGGGCTGGGAGGAATCTAGGATGTGTGGAAGGTGGAGAAGTGACAGTATGGTCATCAACACTTAATGCAGATGGATTGGATGCGCGTATTTGGCCGAGGGCCGCAGCTTTTGCTGAGAGGCTCTGGTCTGATCGCAGTGAAGATGGAACAAGATCAGTGTTCATTAGGTTGGATTTTCATAGAAGACGTCTTATGAATCGAGGTATTAACCCCACTCCCGTGTGGCCCATGTGGTGTACTTACAATAAATTTTATTGTTAGTATTTCTCGCATTATTATTATTATTATTATTGAATTTACCAAAACATTATAATTTATAATGTTATAATAAATATTAATTCTCGATGGACAACCCTATTCTTAAGGAAACGGAAGTGATGATTCTTACAAAATTTCCGTATCCGATTTAGAATCATGCGTTCTGAAATTAAAGCTCATAATTAGTAAATATTGATATTATTAATAACTCACAATAAGAAGGGACAAAGGATAAGTACATTTTATTATACCTTATATCTGATATTAAGTTCTTTAAAGAGGAGCATAAGATTCAGTTAAACCTAAGCAAAAAGAGTCATATAGACGTTTTAAGTTAACAGTTTTATAAAATTTCTGAACGAAATTTAAATCGGATGCATTGCACGTATTATTGTAATCGTTTATGAATGGTATGCTAAATGCCATATTCTTTTTCGTGTAAATAGATTTTTTTATGAATAAAATTATATTCTATAAAATATTAAAGTTATCCTAAATAAAATAAATCCGCGGCTTCACAATATCTTTTACAGCAAACTTTTTGAAAATCTTATTTATGTATTTTCATATTTACATGATTCAAAAAGTCTATCTAACAATTACAGCTACATTTAAATTTACGAAAGTTTTATTTAGATATTATATTTATTGTAATTGAAATTGAAAATAATATTAACGAGATTCTAAATAATGATGCACAGTTGCACACTAATAATTTCTTTTCCTTATTTCACTTTTCAAAAAAATATTTCCATTTTGTGGTCTATTTTGGGTTACTATATATTCTAAGTATATATTATATTTTTGCCTTACTTCTTGTATTATTATAAAAATGTTTAAATTAAGAAAAAGGGGAATTACTCAGTAGTTTTCAAACTAAATAAGACACATAATTTCTGTATCGTTTGTGCATACTTTGATTTATTCTTTTATCATAGAAGGAGAATAAATGGACTGAAATATATTAACTTCGATAGACCGGTAGAAAATTGGTTTACCGTAAAAATGATGCAATACAATATTATTATTATTTGTATCTCTTTGAATTTTACGGGTTCGAAAGAGCTCGGCCCTTTGAAAGGCTTGTGTGAGGACACAGGTTCAACTCGTAGAGGCCCCTTTAGAAATTCATATTTGTTTAATGTGACGCATCAGCCGTGATCCACCTTTAAGTACCCAATAGGCAATTGCCCAAATATGTGCCATGTGACCAGATAATACGTAAAAAGTATGGAAAATATGGAAAAATAAATAGGTTTATGGAATGAAGTCTGACTGTGCTAAAAAACTGGGCTATTGGGTTATTGAAGACTACAGCATATCTTCTTCAATTCTCATATTGAACATTCGGTGGAAGTTGATTAGGGGGCCCATTAGGTGGTCCCCACAAAGCGGCGTAGTGTCTCTAGCACAACATCGGTGTGGTTGGGTAAGGGTGTTGATAGGTGTGTACTGGTTTCACTATCACGAAAAAGCTCGTGAGCTAGTTTCCCTTAGTTTATTACGCAGATTGAGCACTTCCACCCTTTCGAGCACTTAGCTCTTGCACTTCACTCTAGATGGCTAATGAAGGCAAGGCAGAGACGGGGGACAGATGTTGTTCCCTGGAGAGATCTCAGGTCACACCCACAGTTACCCAGCTAGCTTCAAGCTGCACTGCGAGCTTATATCTCTTCCGATTTCACAGGCTCTAAGGAGCTCCGTCTTTTGTAAGGCTGGTGTGGGGACACGGGTCCGATACGTAGAGGCTCCTTAAGAAATTCAAGTTTTCATTCAAGCCGGGATTCATCTCAGAGTAACCCATAGGGAATGGTCAAAGATGTACCATATGACCAAATAATACGTAAGAACTATGGAAACTATATTGGATGATACTACCAGACGTCCGCCCTCTCAACAGTCTCAGATTGAATATTTGGCGGACGGTGACTCGTCTTCCACTAGATGGGCCCCCACAAAACAGCATAGTGCCTCGGGCGCAACTTCAGTGTGGTCGACTATGGGTGTAGGTTATTATTATTATTACTATAGACTACGTGAGTGGAGTCGCCGATATTTAACAAAATAGTACAAAATGGACAAATTATCTAATTGCTAAGCTTCAATATAACTAAAATACGAAAACGGTAAAACAGTCAACACAATTTGATGTTAATATTATTTATTAACTAATAATTGAATGGAGCTTTGCTATATCAAATAAATACATTTTTAAATTGTCATCTATATCCAAACAACTAACAATGGCAATGATTCTTTATAGTTATCTAAGATATTTCATTATACCAGTACTTCTGTTGACTATGCGTAAGCTTGTCCTATTATATTTTATTTAAAATTAAGTCAAAATTAGATGTTCAACCCTAATTCATAGGAAAAGGATGTGATGTCACTCAATCATTTGCCTATGGTAAACTCCTTCATGGGTTTGTTAAATTCATTTTAAAATATTTGCTTGTGAATAATAATTTACTTACCGTTATTGTATTCTTCTTCTTATTACTCGTGTTAACCTTAGATTTTGCATAGTGCTGACCAATAAATAGTACATTTTAACAGACATTTTGAAAAAGAAGTCCTCAGACGACATTAGGAAAAAAAATTACGTTGTCTATGCTCAACCAATGTGGCGGCCGCACACAGACCAACAAGCGTCAAGTTATGGCGTTTTGTGAAAGACATTCGTAAATATTTCATAATATAGGTGTTATTGAATATCAGTGTAACTTTTATAACTTAAATTTAATATGAGCAGATATTACGATTACGGTAACGCGATATCATGGTGAGTAAACACGATTATTTTTACTGACATCCATATTGTTTTAAATAATGTATACGTTTAACTTTAAATTTATAAATTTATTTTGTTTATATGTATACCAATAACATTTGTAAAACACCTAAAATATGAAGAATATGTTGCATTACATATTATAACTGTATTTAATTTTTGCCGGGTTTGTCAGACGTTGTAACAGTCTTCATCAGTCATAAAAAATCACAATACCATTACTAAAAATTTGAAATGGCATTGCTTAGCTTAGCGTTAAGAGAGCCAGAATATTTTAATGTTTAGATTTCACACATTATCTGAATAACAAACCTTTTATAAAAAGGATAAAATAGTAATAAAATTAAAAGCAAAAAAATTATTGCCCCCTTTTATCTACCCTACCTATTTGCTTAAATATTTTTTTTATTAAAATGATTTTTGTTTCTAAACAAGTTCAAAATAAAAACTTAACATCAAAAGTAAATAAAGCACTAACATATAAAGTAATAATAAACCATTAACACTATTTAATTTATTTAATTTTAATAATTTAGTACTAATAGACTAATCATTCATTATATTAAAATATATATTTTGTATTCATAATATGTGAGTTTTTGTGTCAAGTAGGCTTACCATTTTTTATTAAATTTTCTATGAGTTGAACAAAGTACTTTTGAAATATTATTTATTATTAAATACTTTTGATATGCTGCCCTTATTACAAAAATAAAACTGCGAATTGTCAATGGTTAGTTAAATCATTTTTGTAATATAGGTGGTCCTACCCCCTCCCTAAAATAGTTTTTTAAAACATACTTGGTGACTAATGAATAAAAATAGAATAGTTTTTCAATGTAAACATCTGGAAAATTTCCTTGACAGGGCATTCAACTTATTTCTCTTACTTACCTAGCTCCTGTCGTCCCAATTCTTTTTCAAAATTTGTCACTTTCTAAATTCTTTAATATAATTTTTCTCCCTAGCAATGCTCCATAGCTGCAGTGGAATAATTCTCTATAAAACAATGGGACCGCCAGCATTGTTCCAATTTATACCTTCGTTAGGATTCATGTGGTTTGCCTAGTACAAAGCTGTAAGACATGTTTTAACCATTGTAGACTTAATGGGTAATTATTCGATTGCAGACGATCTTAAGCTCCCCTTTGTCCCGTTGAACTCCGGTTATGGTAAGAGAAATAAGAAGGAAGCATTCTCATTTTTTGGTGTGTCCAAGAAATTTTCCAGAATATCTCAGTAGGTCGAAAGGATTTTATAGTGATTTCTGTCCGTTTTTGGACTCCTAATTTCAGTTGACATGAGACACTCGGTCGTCAACAATGGTTAAAACACGATCTTCAGCGAGGGTAGTGAATGCTGCTCAGAGTGAGAACGCTGCAAATGGAAACTCTTCCGAAATTAGTTCGCGGGTAAAAGCCTATGACAACAGGCCACGTTCGCAAAAGACCAACACCACTAGGCAAGTGTCACGTCCTCTCGCGATTGCCCGCAGCTCTGTTAGCATGAATACCTACCCTACTTAAGAATTAGCAATTCTTAAAATTAGGTTTTACGACCTTATAACATTTTATCTCAGTAACTAAAATACTGTCGTGAGATGTTTCTCTTTTGAAAGTGGTTTTAAAGTGTAATAAGAATTGATAAAATAATTGTTACTGAGGTAATATGCCCCTTACAGCTTTGCGTATCATCTGCAGTCGTGCTAGTAAATAGGGCTTCTCAAACGGCTCTTATTTTCTCAGTATTGTAGTTTACAATTTTAGCCAGTTTAAGAAGTCCTTTAAATTTATTAGGTTATACCCTAAATATCTCAATTGTCACCAAGGAAACACCTACCGTACCTAGGAAATATATAACAAAATATTCCTCTTATCTTGTTTGTATATTTCCTACCCTTGAGCGTAAATTTTCTCATTTAAGCTTAAGGTGCATGAATAAAGCTTGCGGTGTCGGACAACAAGTTCACGTTGTGACTTGAGTACGTTGTATGAAACAGATTGTTTGATGCATGTTTTTAAGGAATCTGTGCTGTATCTTCATCTTTTTGTATAGTATTATAATGCAGTAATGAATCGACGTTATTTCTCATTCATGAATTCGCTAATTTGTGTTCTAACTCCTCATCATGTTTATTGTACAGCAGATTACCAATCTCTAAATTATTCATAAATTTGGTAATCTTATTACATTTAAACATGTTAAATTATGGGAGACGATTTTTCTGAATATTAGACATTGGTCTGAGCGTGTTTTTGGTATTTAGGAACAGTCAGGCGCTGTCAAGTGGGGGTCCCGGGAGCGGGTCGCAGGGAAAGGACCCGCTTGCGGCCGCGATCCCGGGGTCCCGCTCTATGTACCAACATCCCGCGGTTACGGGATATAACCCACAAGATTCCCGGGCACAGTCTATGCCAGTTACGGTGAGTGGTTTTGGTACATTTCGACTGTGTTTACAGTTAGAGCACATGAATTAAAAGAATTTAATAAAAAGCGAATGTAACTTTTGTTTATGTCGCGTATTTTATCTATTGTTCGTAGACTGAATATTAAATATATACACGGGATTTCCCAGTCGGATTTTATATAAATGTAACGCAAAAGTCTCTACAGCTATATAAAATAATAAATTTAACTATGTACAGCCATTAATATCGTGAATGTAGTTTATTATTTTGTTTTGTGTCCAAATTGTATGGGTCTATTCATATTTAGGCAGGTCGAAACACGAACCTATTATTTTAAAATGGTTATTGAAATAAGGTACCACAATGGATACGAAATACATTTTTGATAAGTTCTCGTTTGTTTATCAAAGCTGCCGAATTCAGCAACTATTCTTGCTTTATAGTAAACTTTATATTTAATAGTTCTAAGTTGTGCTTGCAAGGTTTTAGTTTAGATTTCGATGTTTTTAAAAGAGGGGATTCTTTCTGACAACCGGTTTATTTATTTATGCATCTTAAAAAGTCATTCATTTACAACGATGCAAAAGAGAATTAGCAAATAATAAACAAGTAGGAACTAAAAAAGGAACAATTAAAACGTATACACGGCGCAGGCCCGCCAGAACCCGATGTACGCGAGCGGCATGTACCACGGCTACAGCGGCGCGGGCGGCGCCACCCTCGCGCCAATGCCGTCGCCCTCACCCACCGCGCCTTTGCCCCCTTTCCCTGTGCACCCGGATGTTAAGTTTAAGAAGTGAGTGATTGTTTAATTTATATTCATGCACATATGTATATGAAAACTAATATTATAGAGGGAAAAGATTTGATTTCTTTTTGTATGTTTGTTTGTAATGGATAAACTCAAAAACTACTTAATCGATTTTAATATTCTTTCACCTATAGGAACATGCATTATCAACGAGTAACATGAGCTGTATTTTATTTAAAACAAAAATAGCGATCTCTACGAATGTTGCCATAATGTAACGCAAGGTATCGAAAATTTACATATAGAAGTCATTATTTGGCGTGGGCTGCAAAATCTATTTATGATACATAAAATATACTTACTACATGTGTATAATATGTACTTTTAATTACCCACAAAAAAAGTCCGCGGGACTATAATATGTCTAACTTTATTATGATAATGATGATTGACAGTTGACATTTAAGAAAGTCTCCGTTTGTAACGTCAAAATAACAGCTTTTTACTAAATGTTTATGAAAGTACAATCTGTCTTGTTTGTTTGCTGCAGCTAATCCGAAACAGCTGGACCGATTTTTGCGGAACTTTGTTAACATAGGCTACTTTTATTTTAGAAAAAGAATAAGGGTTCCGCGTAAAAAATTAAAACCCATGAAATTCCCAACAAACCCTAAGGACAACGGACGCACCCTAGCGAAGCGAGGTTAAATCGCAAGTCAAAAATATAACCAAATTTCTGGTTATGCAGGTTACCATTCTACGATGTGCTGGCAGAGTTAATGAAGCCATCCACAATGATGCCAATGCAAGTGGGCCGCATGCAAGAAGGCACCTTCATATTCCACCTCACACCGCAACAGGCCACAGAGATTGCTTCAGGGAAAGATATTGTTGGAGCTAGTAATAAACTTGATTATGTTATACAAGTAAGTGTTGCGAAGAAGAATTCAAGGAATATCTCTATCTATCATGTTATCATGTGCCAAAGGTTCTGTGTAAAATATAACACATTTTGGAAATCATTTTGGAAGTTTTTGGAAATCAGATTTTTGTAATTTGTAATTTTACATACAGAAATAATTTTAGTTCTGCTGATTTCTTACCGAACTGGTAGTGGTGTCATGACGTAATACGATAATAAATGAATAATTTATACTTATATTATAAAGAGGTTAAGTTTGTGAGTTTGTGACATTGTAGGGGGTAATCTCTGGATCTACTGAACCGATTTAGATGAAATTTGGTAAGAAGATAGTTTGAGACTCTGGGAAGGACATAGGATACTTTTCATCCCAGAAATTATCCATTAAGGGGGTGAAAATTGGAATGAAGTTTTGTATGGGGAATCAAGCTAGGGCGTAACCCGAGCGAAGCGAGGGTGAGTCGCTAGTAATATAATATATTCGATTATTAATGTTTGTTGAGGTGGGTCATGTTTTAGATTAATGGGCTAATTTTTGCTACAACACAAGACGTGGGCAAAAACTATTCATTTATTTATAAGGTTAGTTTCAGTTAGATTGACTATAATGATATTTGGGACATTATTTTAAGTATTATGCGCAATTATTTTTATATTATTTTCAAGTATTTTAGCTATATAAGACTGAAAAAACAATGTTGTTGCAGGCGCAGTTAAGGTTTTGTCTTCTAGAAACTTCCTGTGAACAAGAAGACTACTTCCCACCTAGTGTTAATGTTAAAGTTAATAATAAGATGTGTCCTTTACCAGTAAGTATGACTATGTTTCGAATATAAATTTGAATTGAAATTTAAACTGGATGATATGTTAGACTTAGATTTTTATTTAGACCATACAATATAACTTATAGAAAAATATTTTTATTTCTTGAAATTATTAACTTTATTATGTGTTTAAATAATATGCTAATCATAAACAGCCCCTGATTCTTTAGTTAAGGTTTTATTTAATAAATTTCGATATAAAATGTTATGTGCCTCGTATAGAACATAACATATGTACCATCAGTGAAATTGAGTTATGCGAATTACTACTTTAATTATCTATACTATACTAATATTATAAAGAGGCAGAGTTTGTTTCTTTATTTGTTTGATCGCGCTAATCTCAGGAACTACTAATTCGATTTGAAAAAGTCTTTTTGCATTAGGTAGCCTGTTTATTGGGGAAGGCTGTAGGCTATATATCATATAATATATAGCCTATTTATTCACCATTCATTAATATTCTGTTAAAACGTACCTAGGGACGAACCTGAACGATGCGAAAGTGAGTTGTTAGTTTATAAATAAATTATTCAATTACATATGGAGTATGAGAGTTCTATGAGAATGTGGAAATATGCACCTGATCGCTCACCGCTAGTTTCGAATAGTACTTCCAACTGGAGTTTGAGGGTGAAAAGAATATAGATAGTGTTTGTGTTGCACTCTTAATTTATGTACTACAAGTTACTTACTCTTGCTTCGCTCGGGTGCGTCCCAAGGTACGTTTTAAATAGATAAATTGAAGACTTTTTCTATAGGCCTTATTAGATCTACAATTTTCTAGTACATTGTTGTGATGTTCCTCTTAAGTTTAAGCCAGCTAAATTTCTAAGTAAAATGTGTTAAAATCGGTACAATACGTTTTGCGTGCAACGCGAACATCGATTTCGCTAAGTTACTGTTTTGTTATACGTATAGATAATATCTCCTGCGCATAAAGTTTATCTCAATGAATGAAAGGCATTATTATACTCAAAACATTTACTTTTGCAGAATCCAATACCAACAAACAAACCAACACCAGAGCCAAAAAGACCGCCCCGGCCAGTCAACATCTCGTCGCTAGTGAAGCTCTCGCCCACAGTAGCCAACACTATCCACGTCACGTGGGCCTCGGACTTTACGAGGGCTTACGTGCTCAGTGTGTTTATGGTCAGGAAGCTGACGTCAGCGGAACTGCTCCAGAGGCTGAAGAACAAGGGTACAAAGAATGTAGACTATACGAGATCATTAAGTGAGTCATAATTATGTATTATTCATATTATTAGATTAGATATAAGGCCTCCTTCAGACAGCAGTTATATATTGGACCTGTTAGTATGTATGTTTGTGTAAGTTCAGATTAATTGTATATTGTTAGACTCAACTCGTTTGATAACGCGAGTCATAGGATATTAAGATTATAAAAAATTAAATGACTTCTTTTGGACTTTACGCGCCAATTTGCGCGTCTTAAAAAAAATCATAACAATTTGTGCTATAAACGCTATAAAAGAATCTCATATTATAAAGATAAAAAAAAATGTTTGTTTGTATCGAATAGGCTCCGAAACTACTGAACCAATTTCGATGAAATTTGGTAATAACATAGTCTGAGACAAGTTACATAGTTTGAGGACAAGACGTTTGTACAGGGAAGCAAACTAGGGACAAACCCGAGCGAAGCGAGGGTGAGTCGCTAGTTTGTTATAATATATTAAAAAATATTGAGTATACACAATGAACCTTCCAATCCTATCCGCAGTCAAAGAAAAGCTATCAGAAGACTACGACAGTGAGATAGCGACGACGTCGCTGCGGGTGTCCCTCATGTGCCCGCTCGGCAAGATGCGCATGTCGTGTCCGTGCCGGCCCGCCAACTGCCCGCACCTGCAGTGCTTCGACGCCTCGCTGTTCCTACAGATGAACGAGAGGAAACCCACCTGGCTCTGCCCTGTCTGTGACCGGCCGGCTCCCTATGACTCGTTGGTGGTGGACGGGTAGGTTTCTAGAATGTTCTAGTGTTTAAATAAGGCTAAGGTTATATATATAATTATGTATGTAGTGCAAGTAATCATGCCAGCTGCCGGCACTGTAAATATGGCACTATTCGTGCACATGGACTAATAGGAAACCGTGTATTCTTTCTGGTAATGTGGTGGTAATAGGTTTCGCTAATGTTATTGATTATACTTTTAGTTTAAATGGTAACTTAATTTTACTTATAGTTAAGGAGTAAATGGAGGGATTTTTGTTAGGTGTTTTTCGATATTCGTTTTTCCAGCACAAATTCTGTATATAAAGTTATAGATTGACTAGTTATATTGTCAACTGCCTCCGTGGTGTAGTGGCTAGCATGTACGGCTGCACACCCGGAGGTCCTGGGTTCGAGTCCCGGGTCGGGCCAAGTTTAGTTATTGAGTCTTTCTGTATAAGTAAAGCCTCAGTAACAGCCCGGAGTTGGGAAGTTGGCGGTGTTTCACCCCCGTGCCTCGGAGAGCACGTAAAGCCGTCGGTCCTGCGCCTTAACTCTCACTGGTCGTGTCGAGCAGTCGTCCCACCGGAATATGAGAGTGACAGGAATAGAGAGTGCACTTGTGTCTGCGCGTACACGCGCTGCACTATAATATCTCCTGCGCAGTTGGCTAGTCTCAATGAGATTGGCCGCCGTGGCCGGAATCGGTCGGGAGAACATCATATATGTATACCATATTTGATAAACAAAATTGAAGTGTCTGTTTGTAATATCAAAATAACAGCTCTTTACTAAATGCATATGAAATTATATACGGTACTTATAACAAAAACACAATTTTTAACATTTTTGTCTGTCTGTTTGTTCCGGCTAATCTTCAAATTACATAAAATGTAATTTGTAAATATTTTAAAATATTAACATAAAAATACATGCCACACTAATTCTGTATGAGTACATTCTGTAACAATCCATCATCTGATATTAGGTCCTTTAGTGTCCTTTGTTTCGGTATCCACTTGTAAACATTGCTCGTTTGCACTATCGTATTCTTCTCCTTTCTTTCTGAATAGTTTCATTTGAAATTAAGAAAGCCGCAGCAGCAACGACTTGTCCGGTAGACATGACTGTGTACAATTGTAGAATGTATGTAAAATGGAACTGTCGAATGTGTTGCTGCAACAGATGTTGATCAATGTTGATCATACAACATTGTTGGACAGTGTTGCTTCGACAATCCGTTGCTTCAACTGATTGTTGAACGATGTAAATGTACCTTTAGAAGTAACTTAGGCTTAACTTTTATTTTAGAAAAAGACTTAGGATTCCAAAAAAAAAGTTCTTCTAGGGACGAACCCGAGCGGAGCGGGGGTGAGTAGCTAGTTTGTTTATATAAATGTTTAACATTTGACGTAGTCATATGTTTTTACAATATTTCCAGGTATTTCCAAGAAGTATTAACGTCGTCGCGGCTGGCCAGCGAGTGCAACGAGATCCAGCTGCACGCGGACGGCAACTGGTCGGCGCACGTTCCGCCGCCGCGCGCGCCGCAGCCCGTGCAGCCCGCCGCCGAGCCTGTCACGCTCATATCTGATGATCTTGGTAACCATGCCATTACTCTTAAACTACTAACTATGTATTTACTAATCTTTTAGTGATTAACTTCATATATTTTCTTTTAATATTTTATTTTTTAAATAAAACTGTCTTTTCGGATTTTTTCGCGGATTTATTTTGATTTTTCGTTCCTGACATGTCATATGCTTTATAGCAGTCATGATCACGGGAGAGACTAAGGTTTAAGATGTCTCAAAGGCATTATGTAGTTGTTACAGACAGCTTACCCACAAAATAAGACTGTTTGTTTATAGTTTTATGTTTTCATTTCTGTCGGCAGTCCTCATGACTGCTTTATATATATATATATATATAATCATTTACATAATTTCAACAGAAGTCATACCAGTAGATGGGAATAATGGAGCAAAACGCGCCGCCGTTGGCGAAGGGAGAACACCTAAAACAACAGAAGTTCTCGTCGATCTCACATCCGATTCTGAAGATGAACTGCCTCTGAAAAGGAAAGTGCCACAGCCTAAGAGTTCACCGGCATCCATTGAGAGTATTGCTAAATCTGATGACAACTACTCCACGTCGAATGGTAAGATAAAAAAAAATATTGTTTTGTTTTTTTTTATTATACTACACTATTAGTTATTACGGATTGGTATAAAATAAATATTTTTTACTACAATTTGGCCAATATCACAGATAATAACACACTAGAGACAATAACACACACACACTATAATAATAAAATGTATGATGAAATAAATTGTATATAAAATAAATCGATACATATAAACAAAAATATTCATATATACATACAAGTATACAATACATACATACATAAATACAAACAAACTTATAGTCTGTTTTTTAATCTCTGAGACTAAATTGACACATGCAAATGTCAAATTTACAAATAATGCTGCCAGCCCTTTTGTGCAGTGTTGTACTTGCGATACCGGTTTGTTGAATTGTAACTTTTTATCTTTATTAGACGATTCGCTTCAAAGATTTATATTCGAAAGCGTATCATTAAGATTCACATTATTAATTCTAAATCTCTAAATATCATGTTTATTAATTTTAAATCATTAAGTACCATTAACACCTCCAGGTAAATTTCTAAGAAATGTATTGTTAACATTCTAATAATGTGTATTGTGTGTGTGTGAGTGTAGCGGAGGCGGTGTCGTCGAGCGGGTACCGGTCGCCGGGCGGCGCCGTGATCTCGCTGGACAGCCCGTCGCCACCCGCGCCCGCCTCGCCGCGCCACGACGCGCACGCCGACGCGCACGCGGACGCGCTCACTCACACCGACCACTGTGAGTACTGCCACTCACTCACTGAGCCTTCTTCTGCACGGCCTTTTCCGCACTTAAGCATTATTGCCCGTTGTGTGTGAGCTTGTGCTGTGTGTAGTATTAGTCTTTCCATACCTGAGAGTCCCTGTTGTCTAACAGGCTGCCCGTGTCCTGGAAGAGCCACTGCCCACACTATATTATCTTACAAGCTTTTATTTAACTTGCTATATATATATATATATATATATATATATATATATATATATATATATGTCGTGTTATCCATATACTACGAACATCATCTTTAGTGGTTACTCATCTTGTGGGCGTTATCAGGGCTCAAACAATAAAGTATTCAGTGCTCAATACACAATTTAATCAGGGAAGTCACAATGTTATAAACTTGAAAACGGTAATTCTAATGATTTAGAGCTAGCGGGTTCACAGTCACCGATCATCGACTTCCAACTACAATATCAAATATCACTCTCTATGATCAACCAACGTTACTAAGCCACGTATCTCCAAAGAATGTCGTGATGGCGTCTCGACCCCGCTCGAGACTAAATCTCTGCTCTTAATTCAAAATCTATTTAGAAGCAATAAAAAGTAAATTAAAGAACATAGTGACTTTAAACAATAATAAGGTTACATAACAGAAAAAGGTAACTAAATCCTCCTCCGTCTCGGCCGTCCTGCTGTTCACACGCCCTCGGGTGATCTTGTGGGGCACTCACCACCGCTATTTCTTCTACCACGGCCGTCCTGCTGTTCACGCGCCCTCGTGTGATATTGAAAGTCGATCTATAAAAAAAGTAACATTAGCTCTGCTATTCCTGACCAAATAACTGACCATGGTGGCCAAACTTACTAAAACTAGCAATCGGTGCAGTAGATATTTATTTAGTGCAAAAGTGTACGCACAGACACGTACACAGTATTAGGTTATTTTTAACTTTATTCTACTTAATCATTGAATAAGCTAGTTATCTTTAGGACAAATTTTTCAAAGCTTAATCTTTAAACTGACTGAAACTTTAAAACTACACACACGAAGTTATCATTGAGTACAAGTTACAGAAGTGAGTGTCTCATATGTTAATCAAGTTAAGTCGGTGCCACACAAATCAAACGACGCGATGCAACCCAACCGATGCCACACAGACAACTCTCGCCATTCAGGCTACATGTGCCACAAGGTTACTTTTGCCACACAGGCAACTCTCGCCACTCAGGCTACATTTGCTACAAAGACTCGTTAACGCCAAATAGGCACTACATTGTCTAAATACCACTTCCGCCATCATCGCACAGCAATATCAGAATCATACAGCCTCATCGTGCTACTTCGGCTTGTCAATGTTACATAACTTCGTCAATTCAGTCATCCTAGCTTGTGCTACGTAGGTTCATTAATGTTAAGCTGCTAGATATTATTGGAAATAACTAAAATTACAACCGTATTTAACGGTACATTCCTATATCAATTGCCTGACACATCTAAACAAACTGGAAACGTCTCACCATATAACATTCATATTATATTAAATGAAACAGTCCACAGATATCCATTTTTTGCACAGCCAAAGCATCTCTGGATACCGTCTTCTTCTAGGGCATCGTATACGTCTGATGTGATCTGGTTTAGCGTAAACTAAACTGGCTAAAGCAAGGCGTCCTCTTTACGCTACATACATATTTTGAACCCTTGAAATGAAGCACCTGAAAATTTATATTATTTAATATTGTGCCACAGTTGTTATTACCATCGGCCCGATCTAATTATGCTTAATCTTTAGACCAAATAAGGACATATGAAATCGGTATTATAATCAAAGATCTATTCTCAGCGTGCGTATGAGAATGTCTTCGGAGTGTACACAAACATTAGTTTTACGGTGTATAACCATTAATACAGTCAACTATTTCTCATATTTCACATGATGAACTGCAAAAAATTTTTGTTAGATAAAAACATCACTTTTATACCACCTCGATTATAGTATAACTAGAGATCATGCTATTTTCCCAATATATTTTGCAAATATCATCTTTAAATGTTCCGACGGGAAATAGTAAGCCTTTTAGTTAAATTTTATTTTATCAAAAATATCAACTCAATATTTTCACTTTAAAAATCCTGAAATAAAGAAAATATAAAGCAAACAATTACAATATAAAACATTTTTGACACTAAAATTCTGACATGATTTATATTTTATTTCAGAACTAGAAGAAGGTCCTTATAAGCATCGAACAAAAACATTTCAAAAATAATTCTCGTAATTTATCGATTAAATAAATTAACTTCATATATCATCCTGAAATAAACAAATTTTCCATTTAATTTTTCCATACATATTGTGTTTAAAAATATTTTTGCGATAATAATATCAACAAAATCAAATCCAGCTAGCAATACATCTTTGACGACGTCATGTCATTTCATAAAAATTAAATTGAGACATCTATGATTATTTTAATCTTTTGAGCATCTTGCATACGAGTATGTCATATCATCATGATTCATGATTATCAAAAAGTAAATCTGTAAAACAACCCGCATATGCATCGCCATTTTGTACGTCCGTTTTAAATAACATTTGACATCGCATTTCGTTCAGTTTGAGAAAAATTTTGCAACAAAATTTTCAAATGGCCGCTGTCATCTATATTTGCCCTGTTCTTCGGGTATCATACCACTTCTGATGTGTTATCCATATACTACGAACATCATCTTTAGTGGTTACTCATCTTGTGGGCGTTATCAGGGCTCAAACAATAAAGTATTCAGTGCTCAATACACAATTTAATCAGGGAAGTCACAATGTTATAAACTTGAAAACGGTAATTCTAATGATTTAGAGCTAGCGGGTTCACAGTCACCGATCATCGACTTCCAACTACAATATCAAATATCACTCTCTATGATCAACCAACGTTACTAAGCCACGTATCTCCAAAGAATGTCGTGATGGCGTCTCGACCCCGCTCGAGACTAAATCTCTGCTCTTAATTCAAAATCTATTTAGAAGCAATAAAAAGTAAATTAAAGAACATAGTGACTTTAAACAATAATAAGGTTACATAACAGAAAAAGGTAACTAAATCCTCCTCCGTCTTATATATTATATGTATGCAACTATGTTTGTTCGGGTGGAATCTTGCAACTCAATTTTATAGCAAAATTAATTACATTACTCAATTTATATGATATAAATGCTTGTCGTGAAATTTACCTGTGTTTACAGAGCAAGAATATATTTTTTAAAATAGGTAAATCTTGCGACAAGCTTTTATATCATATAAATTGTGCAATATAATAAATAGTTGGATTTTATTTAAAGTTTATTTCGTTCTTTTTAGAGAATTTAAGTAAAAGCTTGTTTTTAAAAAAAAATGATATTAATTAATTTTCCTCTGCAGTAATATGGGACAATACTGATGACATGACTAATGAGTTAAAGCGCAGGACCGACAGACAGGACAGGACTGACAGAAGTGTTTTCTTCTCATTGTAACGTTTCTTATATAAATGTACATATGTATATACTAATATACATACATACCAAGTGCCCTCATGGTATGGTATGGTATGGTATGGTATAAGACGGGCCAGTTTCCGCAACTCGACGTCTGCGCGCCTATTTTGCGTGTGTGGGAAATTTTCCAAATGTTTATTCTTGCCAGCCCAGTTCCTCCAGGAACTTCAGTAGTCTCTTCGTCCTACCGAAGACCTCCGGGAGTGTACTAGGGGTGCCAAGATGTTGAGCCCGGTACGCCGCTACACCTGGACAATGTAAAATCACATGTGCAGCCGTTTCATCTGCCCTCATGCAGGCTCTGCAGAGAGGGCTGTCAGTTATACCTAAGTTAAATAGGTGTTTGTTATAGGGTCCGTGGCCTGTTAGAGCCGCGGTTATCTGTCTGAGTTGAGATCTGTTGAGATTAATCAGACGGTTAGTCGTTTTAGTGTTAATGAAAGGAAGCGATTCCTTTGCTTGCCTGCAGTCTGCGACTTCACGCCATATATTTTCGTGTAGTCGTCTTGTGCGTTGTCGTATTTGACCTTTGAGCCAGCAAGAAGGTAGCGCCACGATGGGCTCAGGACCTATTGCATTCAGGTCCGATCCTCTTCTTGCTAGCTCGTCGGCCCTATCGTTACCCCACGAGTTGCTGTGGCCTTTGACCCATTGTACTGAGACCTTGTTTTGGTCACTTACCTGTGTCAAAGCGTTATGACATTCATAGATTATACCTGAAGTGGTAGAATTACTATTTAATGCCTGTAGTACTGACATGCTGTCTGATAGTATGCGGATAGAGAAGTTTTTGACGTCTTTATTCGCAATTGTTCTAGCTGCCTCAAGGATACCTAGACATTCGGCTTGGAACACGGTGTTATAGGTACCTAGGGGTATTGAAGTTTGAATGTTTAGATCATCAGAGAAGATCCCGCAACCTGTCCCTGATTTGGTTTTTGAGCCATCAGTGTATATTCTAAGGTCCTTGCTGTCGCGACCTTCGTTTTTGTCTACCTCTAGCTCTATTTTGTATTTTTTGTCAAAAATGTATTTGATTTGGATCCCGTCATTCGGTGCTCCCATGAGCGGGATGTCTTTGGCTACGTCTATCAAAATTTTTGTATGTGGCGTGCCTGTTTTTCGTAGCAACTTCTGGTTATCTAATCTTGTTGCGGTAGTCGCAGCCTCTTGTTGGATAAACAAGTGCAGCGGCAGAAGGCTTAGTATGGCTTCCAGGGCTGCAGTGGGTGTTGTTCTCATGCAGCCCGTTACTGCCATGCACACCAGTCTCTGCCAGCTTTGTAACTTGCATTGTGCTGTGGTTAGAAGAGTTCTACGCCACCACACTAGGGCACCGTAGCTAATCATAGGTCGTATAACTGCTGTGTAAAGCCATAGAGTTAGTTTTGGTTTAAGGCCCCACTTCTTACCTAACATTCTTCGGCATTGCCAGAAGGTAATGCTGGCCTTGTTTAGTTTGGTTTCTAGGTGTTTGGA